ATAAAATCTTAAAAAAAATATATATATATACTATCATATCTTCAGCAAATAGAAAGTTTTGCTTCTTTTTCTCCAATCTATATACCTGTTATTTGTTTTTCTTGCCTGTTGCAACAGTGAAGATCTCCAGGAAAATGGTGAATAAGGTGGTAAAAGCTATTCCCTTGCCTACTCCCAATCTAAGAGGGAAGGCATCAGTCTTTCACTGGTAAACATGATGTTAGTGGCAGGTTTTTCAGTCTCCCTATATCAGGATGAAGAAGTGTTCTAGTTCGAGTTTCCCCAGGATTTTTAAAAATAATTAAGTGTTGAATTTTCTAAGTACTTCTACTGTACCTATGGCAATAATAATCTGATTTTCTACCCTTATTATTCTTTTAATATGGTGAATTACATTAATTAATTGTTGAAGGCTAAACCAATCCTGCATGTCTGGGATAAATCTACTTTGGTCATGAGGTGTTTTATTATTTATCTATTGCTGGGTTGGATTTGCTAACATTTTGTTACGAATTGTTCTGTCTGTGTTCCTGAGGGATTTGGGCCTTTAATTTCATTATCTTTTGATACCTTTGTTTTCAGGGCAATTCTGGCCTCATAAAATGACATGGGAAGCTTCCCTTTCTCTTCTATTTTCTGGAAGCTTTTATGTATGACTGGTATTATTCTTTCTTAAATTTTTGGTAGAATTCACTAGGAAGTCCATCTGAGACTAGAGTTTTCTTTGTGGGAAGACTTTTAATTATAAATCAAATTGTTTAAAAAATGCAATGCTACTCAGATTTCATCTTCCTTTTATTATTTGTGACTTTCACTTGTCTATTTTTGTTCATTTCCATTTTAGTAATGCATTTCTGTCACTTAAGTCTACTTTATCTGGTGCACCTGTGTCAGAACTTGTGTAGGATATATACTGAGGCATGAAACTTGACGCTTTATTTATCCTAGTGTATCTTTATTTTCTTTGACATTAATTTCTGCTTTTATTGTACTTTTATACTTTATTTTCTTTGGTTTCTTTGGTTTTATTCTATTTTTTTTAAAGATTTTATTTATTTATTCATGAGAGACAGAGAGAGAGAGAGGCAGAGGGAGAAGCAGGCTCCCAAGGAGCAGAGAGCCCGACACGGGACTCGATCCCAGGACCCTGGGATCATGACCTGAGCCGAAGGCAGACGCTTAACCATCTGAGCCACTCAGGCGCCCTCCATTTATTTTTTCTAACTGTATGCTTTCCTTCTTGATTTTCAACCTTTCTTTTTCTTTAAAAAGCATTTATTACTATAAATTTCCCTCTAAATGCCTTTCTTGCCCATCCCTCAAGTTTTACTCATTAGTATTTTCATTACCATTGATTTCTTTTTGACTTAGAGTTACTTAGAAATACATATTTTTAAATGTTTAAATGCATTGTTTGCTTTTTTTACATTGTTGTTATTGATTTTATACTAGATTGCATTGTTGACAGAAAATATGAGTTGTATGATACCTGCCTTTGCAATTTGTTGAGGCTTGCTTTATGGCCTAGCCCATAATCAGGTTGGTTGGTTTGTTCCTTATGTTCTCAAGAAGAATATGCATTCTTTAATCATTGGTTCTAAAAATCAACAGTTCTCTCTGTATCTATTAATCAAGGCTGCTAAGTCTTCCATATATTCATTAAACTTTTGGTCTACAATTCAAATATTGCATTTGTCCACTTCTTGTGTTATTACATCAATTTGGCTCTCTATATTTTAGTCTTTTTAAATTTGATACTGTATTTTACATATTTTAGTGAGTTCTGTAAAGTTAGAATTTCCCGTTGAAATAAGCCTTTTATCATTACTGTGTGACTCTATCTTTAACACTAATTTTTGTCTTATATTCTACTTTAATATTAACAAAGACTCCAACATTTTTTGGCCAGTATACCTTTTTAAATTATTTTATTTTAAAAAATAAAAAATTTTATTCTTTTACTGTCAACCTTTCTTAGTCTTTACGTTCCAGGTGCATCTCTTATAAACATGCAAATGGGTTTTGCATGTTTATATCTAACAGTATCTGTCTTTCAGCTGATGAGTCCAGATTTTCTATAAATCTATAAAATCTATAAATCTATAAATTGTGGGTGCCTGGGTGGCTCAGTCGGTTGAGTGGCTGCCTTTGGCTCAGGTCATGATTCCAGGGTCCTGGGATCAAGCCCCACGTCGGGCTCCCTGCTCGGTGGAGAGCCTGCTTCTCCCTCTCCCTCTCCCTGCTGTTCTCCTTACTTGTGCTCTCTCTCTCTGTCAAATAAATAAAATCTTTAAAAAAAAAAATCTATAAATTGTTACCTGGACTTGTTTCTGTCATCATGCTTGTGCTTTTTCCTTTGTTGTATTTTTGTATGTTTCTCTATTCTTTCTTCAGGCAAATTATTGGTTTACTTTCATTTTTAAGAAATATTAGGGTAAAAAATATATAACACAAATTTGACTCTTAAATCACTTTTAAGTGTACAATTCAGTGGCATTAATTACATTCACAGTGTTGTGCAACCACCACCACTATCTATTTCCAGAACTTTTTCATCACTTGAAACAGAAACTCTGTAACTGCTAGCAATAACTCCCTCAGTCCTCTCTTGCTCTAGCCCCTGGTAACCTTAATCTATTTTCTGTGTCTATGAATTTGCCTATTCTTGACATTTCACATAAGTGGAATCATACCATCTTCGTCCTTCTGTGTCTGGTTCATTTCACTCAGCAAAAAGTCTTCCAGGTTCATCCATGCTACAGCATGAGCAGAACTACATTTTTTTTTCGTGCCTTAATAATATTCCAATGTATATATATACTGTGTTTTATTTATCCATTCATTGGTTTATGAACATTTGGGTTGTTTCCACCATCTGGCTATTCTGAATAATGTTGCAATGAGCCTGGGTGTACAAATAACTATTTGAGTCCCTGCTTTTAATTATTTGGGCTATATGCCTAGGAATGGGATTGCAATTTGCTTTCTTATTTGGTTGTTTCCTTCTACTGATTAAAGATTACGGACTCCATATCTACTCTTTAATGATTAACTTTTAAGCAATATTTTGCATTCATAATAACTAACCAAGTCTACAGTCAGTATTTTAACCCCCTCCAAATAACACAAGGAATTTAGAAACTTAACTCATAGCCTCTTTCCTGACTTACATAGATTTATTGCCCAGAATTAGTTTCTGTGTTCTTTTTAACCCCACAAAGTATTTATTATTATTATAATTATTATTACTGGTATGCTGAGATGATACAAATTAAATAACAACCACTGAAAGAGTATAAATAGAGTACATAACTTAAAAAACAGGAGATTAAAAAAGTGAAATCTTGATGTAAATCTTTCAATGTAAAAATATTCTGATTTTTTTAAGTTAGCCACTACATAAAGATGAAGAAATAAAAATGTAAAATTCTCAAAAAAAACCACACAAACTTTCAGTACTGTGCAGAGCAAACAAAGTACCAGGGTAACAAATGTCAGCTCAAGTTTAAAATCTATGATGTAAGTTGACGTTGCCATAATGTCTAACTCTGGTTTGTTCATACCTGTGTACTGATAAAAAATGATGTATCTCTGACCTTGACTATACTAATCAGTTTCTGAACTATGCCAACTGAAGTACCCTAAATTCTTTCCTCGATGCTTTACTTGTGGCTCAGCAGACCAATATGGCTCAACCACTTCACTGGTCAGCACTGGTCCTCAAGTGCCTAACACACGCCAGCCCAGTTCCAGTCACTGGGGACACAGCATTGAACATACAGACAAAAATGAATGCTGTCATATTTGAACAGACATCTCCAAAGAGACATACAAATAGCCAATAAGCACGTGAAAAAATGCTCAATATACTAATCATTAGGGAAATGCAAATCAAAACCACAAAATACCACCTCACACTCATCAGGATGGCTATAATTTAAAAAAAAAAAATAAGAAAATAACAAGTGTTGATAAGAATGTAGAGAAATGGGAACCCCTGTGCACTGCAGGTAGGAATGTAAAATTGTGCAACCACTGTGGAATATGGTATGGTGGTTCCTCAAAAATTAAAAATAGAACTACCATATGATCCACCAACTCCACTTTTGGGTACCTCGAGAGAAATGAAATCAGAGTCTTGAAGAGATATGTGTGCACCCATGTTTATAACAGCATTATTTAAATTAGCAACATGTAGCTAGATGAGTGGGTAAGCAAAATGTGATATATACATACATTGGATTATTATTCAGCCTTCAAAAGGAATGAAATTCCGACACATGCTACAACACAGATAAAACTTTAGGACATTATGCTAAGTGAAATAAGCCAGTCACAAAAAGAAACAAAGACTATATGACTCTCCTCTTAAGAGGTCCTTAAAGTGGTCAAAATCATAGAGACAGAAAATCTGGTGGTTGCCAGGGACTAGGAGAAGGGGCAGAATGGGGAGTTAGTGTTTAATGGGCATAGAGTTTCAATTTTACAGGATGAAGAAGATGGAGATGGATGGTAGTGATGGTTGCACAACAATATGAATGTTCTTAATACCATTGAACAGTACACTTAAAAATGGTTCAGAAAACGACAGAGTTAAGATAATAAATTTTATGTGTATTTTTTACCACAATAAAAAAATTGAAAAAAAAAATTCCTTGAAGGAGTTTACATATGGTCAGAAAGAAAGGAAATGAACAAATAAAACATGTACTAGGCCAAATGGTGAAAGTGTTCTAGAGGAAAGCAAAACAGGGGAAGAAGACAGGGAATGCTAGGGAAAGGGGCTGGGGGTGGTTGCAGCGGTCAGGGAAGACTTTACCCAAGGAGGTGATGTTTGAGCAAACACCTCCCCTAGCTCTGCACTCCCCTTATTAGAGAAGAATTGCTGCGAAGAGGGGGGCCTCTGAGCCAGGACTACATTTCCCAGCCCTCCCGCATCTTGACGTAGCCACATAAGTGATTCTCTCCAATGGAATTTGAGCAGACAGGCTTTCTCTTACCTCTAAGCCAGGGTTTTTATGAATCTGAGATGGCTCCTCCACTGGTCCGCCCCTCTTCTGCCAACGGAAGCAGAAGACTCTGAGGCTTCAAACAGTGCTGCCCAAGAGAAATATAATGTGAACTATATATGTTATTTTTAATTTTCCAATAGCCATAATAATACATGTTTTAAAAAATGGGTGAATTCATTTTAATGATGCATTTTGAACCCAATATTTCCAAAAACTATTTCAACATATATCCAAGATAAAAAATAATGAGATACGCTATATTCTCTCTTTTTTTTTTTTTCCAAATCCAGTATGTTTTACACTTACAGCGCTATTAGCCATTTTTCAAGTCCTCAGTAGCCACATGCAGCACCACATTGGACAGCGGAAGTCTAGAATATGGTGAAGCCATAAGATGTCTCCATATGGGGGACAGCCACCCATCAACCAGGAATACCCACATCGTATCATTACATGAGAGAAAAATAAACTTCCTTTGTGTTCACCTTCCAAAGGTTTGAGATTCATTGGTTACAGAAACGGATTCCTTGAGGTTGGTATAGAAAATAAAAAACTAAAATATTAGAGCATCGGCTTAGCAATCAAGTAAGAGGTAGCACAAAAGAGACATTAGAAGCTGGAAATCAGAGACTCATGTCATATGCTTATAAAACTACCAACTGAGTGCTTGTAAGACAGACCAGGAACACAGTGACCCTGTAGCATTATAATAATTTAAAAGAACAAGAATGCCAACAGACGCTGTAGTAGTCTGCCTAGGCTGCCATAACAAAATACCACAGACAGGGTGGCTCACACAACAGAGATTGATTTTCTCACAGTTCTGGAGGCTGGAAGTCCAAGATCAACCCTAGCCAGGTTGGTTTCTGGTAAGAACTTGCTCCTTGGCTTTCAGAGCTGCCTTTTTTGTGTCCTCAAAAGGTCTTCTCTCTATGCGTGTGTACTCCTGGTGTCTCTTCCTCTTCTTATAAGGACCCTAGTCCTACTGGATTGGGTTCCCACCATTATTATCTCATTTTACCTTAATTACCTCCTTTACAGCCCCTATATCCAAATACTGTCACATTGAGGGTTAGGGCTTCCACATATGAATTTGGAGAGACACAATTCAGTTTATCAATGATGCTGCAAGCTCCTCTCTGCACTGAACAGAGTGCAAGTAAGAAATGTGTTCAGGGAAGAATCAGCTAGTTTGCAAGCAAAAATGAAAGAGAATGAAGAGAATCTAGAAATCAAGGTGAGTTTGGAGCCTTGTGGGTTTGGAAAGCAGACTGCTTCTAGATACCAACCAGTAGGAGATAACACCTGAAATGAGCAAAAGTGCCCATTAGAGGGTTCTGGAGGGGAGGGGGGTGGGAGGATGGGTTAGCCTGGTGATGGGTATTAAAGAGGGCACGTTCTGCATGGAGCACTGAGTGTTATATGCAAACAATGAATCATGGAAGACTACATCAAAAACTAATGATGTAATGTATGGTGATTAACATAACATAATAAAAAAATTTTTTTTAAAGTGCCCATTAGATTGTTCTGGTTAAGCAGAGGTTTGCGAGGCTAAAACACAAATTGTGGTAACGTATTCTCTTCCCACCAAGCCTCTTGCTTCAAGGGGCCTCAAGTTAGCCCCATTAAGTTAAGAGAGAAATATGTATAGGGACAAAGAGGGAAAGAAATAGAGCAGGCTTAAGAATAATTTTTAAGAAAGAACTTTGGATGTGGTTACTGGCAGATGGAATGGCCTAGAAATCATGGCAATAATGTTTCCAAAGAAATCAAGGGAATAACGTTTCCAAAGCACAGTGATCTGAGCCTTAAAAAGCCTGTGATTAAAACGTCCTCCTAGGGACCTCAAATATCCAACAGCAGGATGCAGGCTGTGAAAGCTGTGCACGCTCCAAGGAAGTCAGATTCCTTACTGCTGAACTCAGACAGCACCAGAAAGGATAATGGACAAGAAAGAACACCCCAGGGGGCAGAGCCAAGGACCACAGCAAACAGTGAACAAGCAAGTTCCTCCCATGAAGCAGAACCACAGTCTAATGAAGGAACCTTCTCCACCTCCCAGGCAGGGAGCCTTCATAATGCCCGCCCAGTCGGATTCCCCATTGCTATGGACCAGTTACTGCTATGGATCTCCCAGTCTGCCCTTTTCCAAGTAAGAGTCTCTATTGTTATCCTGTTCTCAACAAACCTCAAGGATTATCGCGGGGTAGGTGGGCAGACAATTTGCTTTTGAATTCCCAGGTCTCTGAGCCAAAGGAACACAGGACCCAGAGTGCCTAGACTTGGGTGGGACTTTGGATTGTCTCCTTTAGGAAGGATCCACACAGATACTTGGTGGCCAAGGGGCAGCCTGTGGCAGAAATAGCTAGCTGCCTCACGAGTTTGTACTCCCTTCCATGGTGTTCAGTTCTCACTGGGATGTGCTGCAGAACCAGTGATTACGATCACAGCTCCCCTTAAATCCAGTGTATCCATGTAACTAGCTGTTCTTAAGAGAATGTGAGTAGAAGTGCTATATGCCTTGTCTACTGTCTGTTTCCCCTTCCGACAGCTAGAAACAGAGGTCTCGGGACTGTCTAAAGAAAGTGCACACAAATGGAAGGAGCCTATTGCCACAGACAGGAAATCTACCTGGCATCCAGGAACACCATTATCAGACTGTTCCGTGAGTGAGAGATTGACTTCTGTTTTAATACATCACTGAAATTGTAAAGTTTCTTTGCTATAGAAGCTCAAATTAGCTTAATTAACGTGCCCCTAAAAGAGGTGAAGGAGAGCGTGATACATGTCTAGATGAAAAGCATTCCAGGCAGAGGGAAACAGGTCAGTAAATGCATGGCCCTTAGGCAGGAGAATACCAAATGTGTTCAAGGATTAGCAAGGAGCTGAGTGTGGCTGAAGCAAAGCAAACAAGGGGAAAATTGAAGGTGATAAGATCAGAGTTGTAAAAAGAGTCCAGATCCTTAAAACCTTGTAGGCCACTGTGAGGACTTTAGCTTTTACTCTGAATGGGTTGGAAAGCCATTGTAAGTATTGGGAGAGGAAGGAGGACACGATCTGACATTTTCATTTGGATCACTATAGCTGGTGCTTAGGAACAAATCACAGGGCAACAACAGACAAATCAGCTTTGAGACTATGAAAACAATCCAGGGGAGAGCTAGAGGTGGTTTGGAATTGGGAGGTGGTGGTGGTGGTGGTAATCAGTGTTTAGATTCTGGATATATCTTTAGGCTATATGTCTGAAATTCAGGCATAAATAATATTTATGCTTCTGGGTGACTCAGATTAGAGAACTACATGTGCATCAAGAGTAGAAATTGGTTCCCAGCAGCTCATAAAGTGCTTGGTGTCCTCTGGAGTGAAAAGGGAACAGCACTATTGGAGTGAAAAGGGTACAGGTATTAATAACTAATGTGTAAAACATAAATGAAACTAACTGAAGGTCTTAGGAATGCCTTCTGAGTCCCCAGCCCACAAGGAACTCCTCACTGAGATTTAATGCTATTGAAATATATGCATCTTCGGTGCCACCTTTTATATTAACCACGAGATTGTCACTGGCCTCAGAGACAATGTTGCTTTGGCTTCTTTCTAACAGCCAACTGTGATTGTTCTAAAGCGAGCAAACAAAAATCAGCTACCTCTTTAAGCTGGAAAACTACAAAGATGTCAGTTTTATAGCCATGAAATTCAGTGAAGCTTCCTCGCAGGCTGTATGGAGGCTTCTTTCTCTTACTTTCTCATTGCATGTTTAACCAGAGAATCATTAGAGAATAGTGAAAGCGAGATTATTCTTACTAGTGTGCAAATTTTAATTCATCTCTTCTTTTACATGTTTAATTTTAGCCCTATAGTTGCAACATGTGGTATCCCCCACCAGCAATATCATCTGCTTTTCCTCTCTTCACATGTCCCCTTTAGGCTTCAGCTGAGCTTGTAATTGTTTTCCTCCTTTAGAGGACTCACTGGGAAAAAAAAAGGTAAATCATTTATATAACTGTATTTTTCTCAACTAGCAACTTTGCTTGGCTTATGTTGACACTGACTAAGGTGAAATCTTTTTGAAAATTTTCATTATTAAAAAAAAATCGCAAGATTACAAAAAGTTGAGGGAAAGAGCAAACACCAGTTACCCTAAGTGGATATTCCAGCATTATGTCCCTGTAATTGCAAACATCAATAAAATATTTAACAACCATGAGACAAGTAAAGAAATCATTAAAATGGAAAAACACATTTCCAGAGTAAATTTCAGCAAGCTTAAGAAAACAAGTGGTCACATGAGAACATAATTAAACAATAAGAAACCCAGTAAAACTGGGTGTGAAAATAGGAAGGAATCCTCCTTGAGTCAAAAGGATAGACGAAATATAATTTCATCAGCCAAAAAAATGTTGAATAACTGAAATAAAGAGGAATTACAAACACACACACAAACACACAGAGGATATTGGACCATTTTACTACGCTGGTGTAGGCCTAAGGGGGAAAAATAAATGCAATAAAATATTATTATTTGCAAAAAAACAAAACACATAAGGATAGAAAAATATTGTCATGTTGCTTACTTAAAAAAGGAAATCATGCTCCCTTGTGGATAAGGACCTACAACTTTTAAAAATAACATTAAACAGAAGAAACATAATTTTTCTGGCATTCTTTTGACCAAAACACAGTCAGTTTTGATGGTACTTTTATAACAGACAACATCTGGAGAAGAGAGAAAGAACACTTAATTAAAGTATGTCTTTAAAATGTAGACCAAAAGAGTATGTCCTAATTCGTAGGGCCTTATAAGTTCCTGCGCCATCTGGTATCATTCTTTTTTTTTTTTTAAAGATTTTATTTATTTATTTGAGAGAGAGAATGAGAGACAGAGAGCACGAGAGGGAAGAGGGTCAGAGGGAGAAGCAGACCCCCAGCTGAGCAGGGAGCCCGATGCGGGACTCGATCCCAGGACTCCAGGATCATGACCTGAGCCGAAGGCAGTCGCTTAACCAACTGAGCCACCCAGGCGCCCCATCTGGTATCATTTTTCACACGTGTGTGCAGCTGAATAGAAGAACAAGACAAAAGTCT